CATGGTGGATTGGGACTCTATGAACCTCACCCTGTCAAAATATGGTTTAGGCAAGTTCACCTCTAAAGCAATCGGTGCACTATATGCTTATTCATCTGCAAGGGTTACTGGACAAAATTTTTGTTCTGAAAGATTTGCCATCTCAAACGGCACCAGACAGGGATGTCCGTTATCCCCATTGGTGTTCGCTTTACTCATTGAACTGTTAGCAATAGCAGTGAGAGAATCAGATAGAGTACATGGTATTGAGATAAATCAGAAACAACATGTTATTTCTTTATATACGGACGATGTGATAATTACTATTGAAAAGCCAGAAAAGTGATTGAAAGCCCTACAAGAAATTATCGCAGAATACAGTGAAATTTCCAATTATAAATTAAATATAAAGAAGTGTGAAACTATGACTTTTAATATAGAAAAAAACAGAATGGAGTTAATGGCCGCATCATCCCCATTCAAATGGCAACAATCAATAACTCATTTAGGCATAACCATATTCTCAGAGATAAAAAAGTGATTAAAGTTAACTATCAAAACGTTTATATTGAGATAAGGGAGATTTTAGCTAATTGGAAAAATGTATCTCATGGCTAGGAAGAATCATGGCTATTAAGATGACTATACTACCAAAGATCACTTATATTATGCAGTGTATTCCAATTCAATGTCCTATATATATGATTAATCAAATACAGAGAGATATAGACTTATTCATCCATCAGAATAAAAAGATGCGTATTAAGAGATCGGTCTTGTTTAATAAATTTTGTAGAGGAGGAATAGCGTATACAGATATTAAGAAATATCAAGAAGCTACTTTATTAGCCCATATGATAAGATGGGTTGAGGAGGAAAAAAGTAATAACTGGGCACAGATAGAAAAAGTATTTCTTATTGAAAGTAGTATAAATTCAATACTCTATCAAGAACTACTACCCAGCAGTGAATTTAAAAATAAAGATCCGTTAATATGGAAAAATTCAAGGTGCTGGTTGAAATTGAATACTAAATATACACTAATCCCCCTTCCGAGTTTGATTACTCCGCTTTCATGGCTGCAGAGACGGTTTCCTTCTCCTTTGTTTGATTTATTAATAGAAGAAGGCTGTAAATATCTAAGTGATCTATATGTAAATAATACATTTGCACAATTTGACTATCTACAGAGAAAATACAAGATCTCAACCAGTTTTTGGCTGGACTATAATAGTTTAAGGACTAGATTTATATCCTCTAGGTTTGATCTGCAAGAGGCTAGACAGTTGACAGGAAGAGAAAAATTGATCTGTTCAAAAAATAAATTTCATCTGATATCAAAGTGCTTCAGCATAATAAGAGATAGCGAACAGGAATCTAAACCTCTTAAATATAAGACTATGGGAAGAAGAACTAGACCAATCATGGCCTACAGAAATTTGGCTGGGGGCAGCTTCAACAACATACAAACTCATTAAATATGCTACGTATAGGGAGAAAATTTTGAATAGTTGGTATTTAATCCCAATCAAATTATGGAATATTGAAAAAAAGATAACAGGAAAAAGTATTGCTGGAGAGGCTGTAAACAAATCGGATCAGCTTTGCATATGTGGTGGTCTTGCCCTTTAATCCAAGTATATTGGAAGAATGTTTGTGCCTGGAGATCTCGAGTACTGGGGGAAAAGATGAAAATGGGCCCAGAATTAGTTTTGTTTCATATTTTTCCCGATGTCTCAATTAAGGTAAAAAGTTTCCTATTACAGTCTTTAATGGCAGCCAAATGGCTTATAGAGTTAAAATGGAAGGGAGAAAGTATGCCTCTATGATCGGCCATTGAAACGGTCATGCAGAGAAATAGAGCTTTCGAACTGAACTATAGGTATGAGGGAATTTATAATGTCCCGAAATATAGATGGTCAATATGGGATAATTATGTTTTAAGCCCTGGACCTACAGATTTATAAGGTGTAGTGAAGCTTGTGCTCTCATGGCCAGCCCTCCTCTTCTCGACTCTCGGAACAGTGTATAGTATGTGTGTGTTTCTCTTCGGTGTTTGCACTTTCATGTAGACAGTTGGGCCATCACAACAAAATTCATTGGTCACAGAGTCAAATTTGATTTTTAAGAAAAAAAAAAATTGTATGCGTTAGAGCAGAGGACATGGAGATATTCAGGGTTCTCTAGTGGAATTGGGAAAATATATGAAATCGTGTACTGCGCTAAATAGGATAAACAAGAGATGTAAGATATTGAGTTGTGTATTTAATGCCAACATAGTATGTATTTATTTGTCTGGTGTATTTTATGTGTGATTCGTGAAATAAAAATATTTTGAATAAAAATTTTTACAAACAATATTCAGTTAAGGTGCTTTATTGTCTGGAGGTTGATTAGATTAGCGGTACTGGATCTAGTTATCTCACAGACAGAGAGGTGCCTGGGGTAGGATCTTTATTGTTCTTGTTAATGACCCCCTGCCAGGGGTTTGTATATATGTAGGCATTTGAACCATATAAAGGGTTCCTGTTTTCACGCTTCATCAAGTCTCGACTGATGTTTGGGGTGGGCCGCTATATGAATACTCTGCAGGAGAAGGAGAGAGCCTTTGATGAAGGTACTTTGGTCAAGTATTTGAGCTCCGCCACAGGAAAGTGAGTCTAAGAACTGGACTGTGGAGCAATGGAAGATGGTTGACTGGTCTGGTGAAACCCTTTTTCTTTTAGATCAGGTTGATGGCCGGTTGTGTGTGTCATTTAATTGGAGAAGAGATGGCAATAGGATGCACTGTGTGAAGAAGGCTGGCCTGCCCAGGCAGTGTTTTGCTCTGGGTAATGTTCTGCTGGCAAACCTTGGGTCCTGACACACACGTGGATGTTACTTTAACATGTACCACCTACATAGATTGATGCAAATCACTTACACCCCTTCATGGCAATTATGTTTCCTGATGGATGTAGGCTCTTTTAGCAGGATAATGCACCCTGCCACACTGCATAAATTGTTCAGGAATGGTTTGAGGAACATAACAAAAAGTTTAAGATGTCTCCAAATACCCCAGATCTCAATCCAACTGACCATCTGTGGGATGTGCTGGAACAAAAATTCAATCCATTAATCTGCTGCTAGACCCCTATGACTGCTACTAAGCACCTATTACTTCAATAACATTTCCAGGTATTATCAGACCCATATTCCCAAGATAAAGTGAATACCAAGTACCCAAGTGCTAGATTAAAAATAAAGCAGAAAGAACCTGATGGATGTTTTGGTGCAAGGACTAGCATTTAGCACAGGATTTAACAACAACTGAGGAGTCAGTACCCAGTTTCTCTTATAAAATTCATCTTCCTAAAGGTTGTCTTACACCCATTTTCCAGGGAACCATTTGCGGCATGCAAAGAAGGATTCATTATTATCTGGTTTAATTTATTTAAGAATGCATAATAAACTGACTTTTAATTTAGTGAATTTTGCATAAACTATGTGAATTGGTAGTCACAGTGCATTTGTTAGTAGCGACAGAGGAGGTGAATCGAAGGAATGTCAAGTGAAAAAAAGTGTAAGCAACAGGACCTAATACTGGCAACTTACAGTTTTTGGTAAGTTTGGCAGCCATTATGTTACACTTAAAAGCAGTAAATTCTGTTGTGTTTTTTTCCACACCTAGAGCACAATGAATAGTTAACCCTTTATCATTTACAACACAGCAAATATACACATTAACCAATTACATGCCAGCCTACTCTGCATCACTCTTGAGCCAAAAAAATCACTGAAGGGTGAAAAAAACATGCACAATTTATACTGTGTCAACTAAATTTATGGTAGGGTAAAATGTAACAGCATGGTAAAAAAAACTAGTATCAGAGGCTGACAGATCTGGGGAGGGTCATAGGAAAGAGAAGGAGTAGAGGGTGGAAAAATTGGGGATAAGATGCCGAATGGAAAATGACTGATTGGCAAGGAGGGGGGCTGATTTGGGAACACATGGGTAGAATTTTAAAACAGATAAAGTAAGCCAAGATTTTAAAAAAGTACAATGTTAAATGGGGCATGAGGATGGAGAAAGCTGCATACTGCTTAAATAGGAGATGAGGGATTAGAAAGCCATGTGAATTGATAATGAGTGGTAAAAAGAAACTGCTAGAGTAGCGTCAGTCTGTGGCTGGATGGAGACATTCCAATGTGCTGAGCTATACATTTCCAAATCTGTAAAATCCAACAATAGCCACCCTTGCCATAACCACAGTTATCACCAGTCCCTGCAGGCAGCATACAGCATGCCTGGCACATCACGTGATCAGACCGCGTGACAGCCCCACAACATGTGCGTCTGGCACACACAGAGCTCACGGCATGCGGCTCCGATCGCTGGTTAAGATGATTGGCTGAGGAGCGAAAATGTCAGGGCTGTCATTGGCTAGCTCATGAAAATCTGTACTCTGATAGGCTGCCAGTCCAGTCATTGTGATTGGCTGACACGGTGCGCTGTCTGGGGAGAGTGTCACTATACCTGCGCAGGCAGTGATGACAGGCTGCTCTGTATTGCTTTCCATGACACACCGTGTACACGTATGGCTCCGCTTTGAACACCGTAACCCCCGGGCACAGCGATCTGACGGCCCGCAGGCCGTTTCCTCTCCCGGGGCTCTGGAACTTCTCCAAATTTCCCGCCATCGCCTGGTGCAGTCGCTGAACTCTGGTGCGCGTTCACAGTGTCCGCACGCCGAATCGGGAGCGCGCGCACGTGACCCCGCCTGCTGGGAGCGCGCACTGGTGGATACTGTTCTAGTGACTGATCTCATGGTGCTAGCACCCAGTGTTCCATGACAGTCCAAGTACCATCACCACTACATTCGGCTCGGGCATTGTTTCTACTTGCATATATTTTATTTCTTCCTTCTTTTTTTTTCTCATTACTGTTGTTCAGATGTCACAGTATTTTTATTTTACAGTTTAGCTTATCTTCTGGTAGTTTTTAATAATGGCGACCAGATGCTGTAATCTGCTGCCCTGGTGGGGAGCAATACATACAGGCACCCCAACCTTTCTGATTTCAGTGGGACATTCCCAATGTTCATGTTTCTTCTCTCTAAATAGTGTCCTTGGGTCTCACATTTGGGGACACTGTGAACTGTCCCCCACAAGCATTTAGCCACATTTGCGCTATGTTCATGCCACTAAGACTGCCCTAAATGGGTTGCCTTTGCAAGATTGGCAGGCATTCACACCAGGCTGACTTACCAGTAACACGGGGTATACTCTCTTTGGGTGGAACCTGTCATGTGATTGCATCACTGCCCCGATACCTTTACCCCTCTTCCCACTGACATCTCAATTCATGGACTGCTGGATTTGAGAGGGTATATAAAGGAGTATGTACAAAAATAAAATATTATGTTGAAGTTAGCTTCTTATTGATATGATAGTGCCACTTTGGAGCCAGTTTTTCATACAAAACGTGGTTCGGCTCAGGCTAAATGTTGTTGGAAAGCATAGTGGACCCCAGTGTATTGAAATAAATGGCATCTTAGGTGAGCCAAGATGGTTTTCATGTTAGAAAACCTTGGTTACTTGTTCAAAAATCCCTATTGAAATGCATTGAGTTGATGGTGCCAGTTTTTAATCAAAATTGTGCTTTTGCTCACACTAAATATTATCGTATGACGAAGAGGGGAGTCCAGTGTATAGAAATCAATGCCAACATGGCCAAGATGGAATTAGTTTTTAAATGGCATGTATTTGCATACATTCTGAATGAATAAAAAAGTTAGATGAATAAGAAGCTGACTGAATAAGAAGCTAACTTCAACATCATACAAAAATATAAAGACCAGAAAGTGATAGATCGCTTTAATGAAAATATTGTGTATTTCTACTGAGAAACAATAAGTTGCACCAATAGTGTTCTTGAAGTTATTTTATAATCTTTATATATATATATATATATATATATATATATATATTTGGTATACATAACACTAAGTCTAGCATACAGTGTTTTATTTGCAATATTAAAGGGTTATTCCAATCATCATGACCACTTCACTGATTTGAAGTGTACGTACAGAGTCCAACGCCTCTGCTACAAGATGTGTATCTCCACCTCATTGGTAGATCAAGCTCCAGATCGTACTTGGTGTTGAAACAAAGGTACAGTATCACACAAAAGTAAGTACACCCCTCACATTTTTGTAAATATGTTATATCTTTTAATGTGACAACACTGAAGAAATGACACTCTGGTGCAACGTAAAGTAGTAAGTGTACAGCCTGTATAACAGTGTAAATTTGCTGTCCCCCTCAAACACACAACCATTAATGTCTAAACTGTTGGCAACAAAGTAGGTACACCCTAAAGTGGAAATGTCCAAATTGGGCCCAATTAGCCATTTTCCCTCCCCGATGTCATGTGACTCATTAGTGTTACAAGGTCTCACATGTGAATGGGGAGCAGGTGTGTTAAATTTGGTGTTATTACTCATACTGGTCACTAGAAGTTCAACATGGTACCTCATGGCAAAGAGCTCTCTGAGGATCTGAAAAATAGGATTTTTGCTCTACATAAAGATGGCCTAGGCTATAAGAAGATTGCCAAGACCCTGAAACTGAGCTGCAGCACGGTGCGCAAGACCATACAGCGGTTTCACAGAACAGAGATCGTGAAAGAAATGAGTCAATGTGCAAACTCCACCAGGAGTTGATAACAGCTAAGATGGGTAGATCCACTAAACAGTGCAAAAATGACAACAATTCCCAAACTGGAATGAAATCTAGGGTAATGATGGCTAATACAATCATAAATATATAGCAGATCTGTTAGTCTCTAGAATTTAAGTCCAAATAATATTATAAAAAGAGTGCTGTCCATACAGAGTCTACAATGTATCAGTGTCATGCTCATCTTTTAGATGGAATCCCTGCTCCCAGACTTCACTCCAGCAGTTCCCGCGCTGGCCTCTGTGACTCTGCCCACTTTTATGACGCGGCACGCGCGCAACAACATCATGACGTTCATAATGCCGCGTACATGCCGACGATGACGTCACGGCCCACCAAAATGTCAGAATTTGAAAAGGCTGGTTCACACATAGGACTTTGCCTTGTTGTGATTCTTGTTTGGTTTCCAATAGTGCTTCTTTCTTGATTCTTCTTTTTTGTTATCTTGACCTCGGCTATCTGACTACTCTCCATTATCCTGTTCTTGATTCGGCTCTCGTACTTCGACTACTCTCTTATCTGGTTCCCTGACTCGGCTAGTATACTCATTTTCGTGATTTCTGTATTCCTTGAACGCGGCTTGGTCTTGACCATTCTCTTTCTGTCAAACGTAAAGCCCGGCCACTCTAAAGTCCGGTATACATTTTTCTTTTACACCCTGGGTCTCATAGGAGTCCTGACATTACAACAAGGCCATATGGACCCTGCAGGTGTAAGTCCCCAGAGAACCACCTATGAGGATAGGTTCGTAGAAATGGATCATCGCATGGACCAGATGGTCCTTGCATTACAGATCTTTTTGGCAAGTTCAGCAGGCCAACAGGGTGAAACCCAACCACCTGTCGCTAACCCAGTACCCACAGGTATGGAAGTGACTCCTTATGGAACTACCTCTCATGCCCCTGAGGCATGTCGTGAGTTTCTTAACCAAATTAGCAAACATTTCGAGCTACAACCCAGGGCATACCCCACGGACAGAGCCAAGATTGGGTTCATTATAACCCTTCTAATAGATAAGGTGCTAACCTGGGCTAATCTGTTGTGGGGAAAATGATAATCCCCCTGGTCTACAATTATGTGGCCTTTATGGAAGTCTTTTGTAGGACCTTTGATCCTCCTGGTAGAAAGGCTAATGCTGCTAGGTCTCTTCTACACCTTAGACAAGGGACTAAGGCATTAGTGGATTATGCACTAGAATTCAGATCCTTAGCAGCAGAGGTTAAACAGAATCACCGTAAGGAATGCATATCCTATACCGTTAATCGCTGAACTTTTTGACAGGTTGAAAAAAAGCCATGATCTTTACCAAACTCGACCTTAGGGGTGCGTATAACCTGATTAGAATACGGAAAGGTGATGAGTGGAAGACAGCATTCAACACATGATATGGGAATTACGAATACACCGTAATGCCCTTTGGATTGTGTAATGCTCCAGCTGTCTTCCAGGACCTAATTAATGATGTTTTAAGAGTTTATCTACACGAGTGTGTGATTGTAAATCTGGATGACATTCTCATTTACTCCAGTTCTCTGGAAGAACATCATAGACATGTTAAGAAAGTCTTAATCCGTTTACTACAACACGGATTGTATTGTAAATTGGAAAACTGTCTTTTCGATCAAGCCCAAATCAGTTTTCTGGGATACTTTTTTTCTGGTTCAGGGTTTTCTATGGAATCCTAAGAAGCTAGAATCCATAATCAATTGGCCACTCCCTACTGGACTCAGAGCCATACAGCACTTTATAGGCTTCTCCAACTACTACAGACGCTTTATCAAAGGTTTTTCTTCCATTACAGCTCCTATCACCAAGAAAATAAATCCCAAAATATGGATGTAACGGATCACCTGGCACCCCAACTGGGTTCCTGAGGGCTCCAAGCACTCCATCCGACACCATAACCACCGTAGACTCCTTCAGAGAGCAAAACAGGAACAAGCTCTTACAAGAGCTCAGTGATTAAGGCAAGGGAATATGCACAGTGTAACTGATCACCTGGCACCCCGACTGGGTACCTCAGTTGGAGGATGCTCCTAGCGCTTCCTGAGGGCTCCAAGCACTCCAGCCAACACCATAACCACCGTAGACTCCTTCAGAGAGCAAGACAGGAACAAGCTCTTACAAGAGCTCAGTGATTATAGCAAGGGAATATGCAGAGCAAAGCAATCCCTTGTAGCAGAGTCCCCCAATAAGAGACAGGACTCAGATTGAGGGTGAAGTAGATTTGATTTACTTGGCACCAAAGGGCCTTCTTTTATGCAGGTTTTACAGATACAGTACTGCCCACAGGGTTTTGCAAAATAACCAATAAACACGTACTATACACTCAGACACTCCCACACAAAATCCTCCCCTCTGCCTGTGATACAATTACCTTACACAATGGGTTAATGTAATTATCACAGGCATGAAAATACAGGTTTACATAATATTCATAACTTTAAAAGTATACATCACATACACATAAATTACATTTTCAGAATCAGCATACTCCAAATACAAACATACGTCAAAATCATACAAATTGGTCCAGTGGGTCAAAAGTTAGTTGGAAGTCCCTTTGTGACAATCTGCAAGCATGGCTTGGGTTTGGTAAGCCAATTATCTCCAGCATACAGAAAATAGCTCTATTCACAACAACAGTAAAAACACATAAAAATACATAATTCCTATCATACTGAACAGATGCCCCACATTCAACATATCCCCAGATGGCTTGGATCTACCTGAGGCAAGTGAGGCGTTTGTGTAGCAGAGCTGCAGTATTAAAATCTATATCTCCGCTGGTAGACTTCTAAAACATCCAAGAGAAGAGTAGTTCAGCAATACAATCCCAATTCCCCAATAACCGGACGATACACAGTTTTGGAGTCAACTGATGTTTATTAAGCCACAGCTGGCTTTTATGCAACTCCCCATGCAAGGGGTTTCTTTAATTACATTCCAGGGGTTCTCCCCTGGACCTTGTTGGGAACAGGGGACAAGATGACATTTCCCAGACTCCTCCTCTGTACTTGGGAGATAAATGAGTAAGGACAACTCTTTAATTACATTATCTCCCAAGTACAGAAAATATACAATATTTCAAACAATCATAACATACATTAATATGTCAGAACTCCACTATACTTTGCCGAATAGCAGGGATCTAAGCGCCCCCGCTGTCGAAATATCGCTCAGTTCCATTCGGTAGAATAGGAACGCCATTTGAGTGACGTTTAGACCGGTCAACCACGAAGTGAAGCCCCAACAGGTCTTCTTTCGGGAGTATCTAACTTTAAAATGACGAATGAAACTGTTTGTGTAACAGGGAGGTTGTGTGCCCGCCCTATGTTCGGTAGTGTCTTTCATACGAATGCTGCTCTGGATATGTGAAGGGGAACGAACATACGATGGAAGTTCAGCCGTGTTCGCGACGATTCTAGTTCCATGCACTCGACCCCCAAACAGCGATGTCTGTTCGTGAACTAAGATGGTCGCTGCCACATATTCGGTCATATGAACAACGGCCACCCCTGTGATCACTTAGAAACTTGCGGTTTCTAAGTGTGAACCCCGTCAATTGGAGGCACACGACTCCCC